TTGGGCCGTCCTCGACTGCCTTCCCAGGCCACAGGCAGGGAGCTGGAAGGGAAGCGGGGCTGCCGGGATTAGAACCGGCGCCCATATGGGATCCCGGGCGTGCTAGGCGAGGACCTTTAACCACTTGCGCCACCGCGCCGGGCCCCAGGATCAGTTCCTTTAAAAAGCCTCACCCGACGGTAGTCAGCTGGGCTCAGGGCCTCGTTCCGGTTCTGCCTCCAGCTTCCTGCTCTTCTGGCGTGTGTGTGGACGTGGAGATGTGTAACTCACACCCAGCAGAAAACCTGTGAACGCATCTCACCTGGAGACCCCGCTCACACATGGGCGCTTATTCGGAAGAAAGTCCCAGTGTCAAGGTCGGCCTCTGGGTGCCACACGCATCCTCCTTCCTCAACCCTTCAATGATGAACCCGGCTCTGCAGTTCCCCTTTTCCACGAGTGTGATGCCAGAAGTCACCAGCAGAAGGAGACAGAGAGCCACGGCAGGAGGCAGGGAGCTTGGCTGCAGCGTGCGGTTTTTGCTTTCATTTCTCCTGCGGCACAGTGGGTCAGCCTGGGACCCAGGGAGGACAGCAAGGGCGCTGCACCCCAGCCTCGCGCGGCCGGACAGCGCGGCGTTTCACTGACTTTGCTGTGTTGGTCTGGCTCTGACGACCACTTTGGCATAGCTTCCTGTGATGGGGACACTGTATACTAGGCCTGGCACCCACAGCAGCACCCCAGCTTCCTGTTACACACCGGCATTCCATGTCAATGTTTATAGGGTGCAAAAAATAGTCTTTAAAGGGAAAATAATAGTTGAACAGATTTACAAGAAGTAACAGAGTTAGGGCAAGGACTGTGCTGCAGCCAGCTGTCACCGGGTCTGCCATCCCACGCAGGCTCCAGGCTTCGGGTTCGGCCTCCTGCTAATGTGCCTGAGAGGCAGCAGCTAAGGCTCCAGTGCCCAGGGTCCTGCCACCATGTGGGAGACCCCAGATGGAGTTTCTGGCTCCAATGTGGCTAGCCCTGGCTGTAGCGAATCTTTGGGACCGGAACTAGCAGATGGAAGGTGTTCTCTTCCACTGCTCAGCAGCAACCTCTCTCTTGGTTACTGAGCTTTGAAAAAGAATGAGGGCCCAGTGCAGTAGCCTAGCGGCTAAAGTCCTCACCTTGCACGCCCGGGATCCCATATGGGTGCCGGTTTGTATCGCAGCTGCTCCACTTTCCCATGAGTTCCCTGCTTGTGGCCTGGGAAAGCAGTCAAAGATAGCTTAATATGATGAGCCGCAATGACCCCCCCAAAGTGCTACTTTTTACCCCAAGGAAATTTTTACCTTAATGGTGGCTATATTTCAGCATATGAAACATACAAAAATAATTATTAAAATCAAATATGATCAGACTTATGTGAAAATCATGTACTTAAGCACTTACACATGATGCAGCCAAACTGTCAAAAAATTAGCAGTCAGCCATGTTCTATTGTTCTATTTGGGCTCTAAAATTTTTTTTCTGTGTTGCTTTGTTTCTTTTTTTGTTTGTTTGTTTTTTTGGGGGGTCTCTGAAATTCTATCAGAAACAATTGCTTAATAATTTGTCTCATCCACATTTTTCAAAACTTAGAAGCTAGAAAGGCTAGACTGGCTTCTTCTTCTTCTTCTTCTTTTTTTTTTAAGAATAAAGAGCGAGCCGAGGTCACTTGAAACAACTTAGATGTGGAATAAGTACACACTTAATCTTGGGACGGAGGAGATAAAAGCAAAAAGTGCTTCCTGGAAGACAGCAATGTTTAAGCGGCAAAGCATTGCACAACCTGAACATCTTATCTCCTTACCTTGAGTAAAAAGCAAGGACTGAGCTGCCAGACTCAGCGGGAGTTATTTCAACTTTGACTATTCAGATGGCTAAAGCTCTGTAAGTTCAATATTCTTATCAGCTCGAGGCAAGGCCTTGCAGGCACACTGCCTTTCTATACGAAATCCATGCGGATCCTTCTTTGCATAGGCTTGTTTACTTTGGTTATTCATTTTTCATCAAGGCTGAACAAGAGATGCAGCAATGGTGGCTGTTGCAGGGCCCCAAACAGGAACAGATGCCCATGGGCGCCTGAATTTTCACCATTGGAAAGAAACATGCACCAGAGAGAAACATGGTAGTCAGCTTTCATTATTTACTTACGCTTTTTAAAAGATTTATTTAGTTTTATTGGAAAGGCAGATTTACACTGAGAAGGAGAGACAGAGAGAAAGATCTTCCATTGTTAATTTACTTCCCACATGGCCACCATGGCCGGGGATGAGCCGATCTGAAGCCAGGAGCCAGGAGCTTCCTCTGGGTCTACCTCGTGGGTGCAGGGTCCCAAGGCTTTGAGCTGTCCTCGACTGCTTTCCCAGGCCACAAGCAGGGAGCTGGATGGGAAGTGGGGCAGCTGCGATATGATCCAGCACCCATATGGGACCCCAGCGCTTGCCCACAAGGGTTAACCAGTGAAGCCATCATGCTGGCCTCGGTTTTAGTTATTGTAAAATTCATTGGAGAGCACTACTTTGCCTCTGTTGATAAGAGGGACATCAGTAATTCATTCCTGACTAAAATAGACTTCCCAGGCCCTGGCCCAGGCCCGGGGTAGGTACTCTCAGGCATGGCCAAGAGCGGCTCAGATCATCCGCTGCAAATAAATATACAGGAGGCTCCCTAAATGGGAACTTCATAAAAAAGTTATTTTCAGCATAGTATAATTACGTTCCAAATATTGGGCAGTGTTTATTCAAAATTCAAATTCCATGGCAGGTGTTTTGAACACTATTTGGCAACTGTAACACTTCTGATTTCACACCCAACACCCTTTTCACACCACAGATACAGTGTTTCTTAAAATTCATAACTGTGTCATTTCCCGGGTTTCATTAAAATGTGTCACTGCCTGATGGATAAAGTCCCTTATTTTCAAGATGGCCTTCCGGGCAGTGCCAACCCTTCCCACGCCTTCTCCTTGGACCCCCTGGATGAGGGGCCAGCCCTGCCTGAAATATTCTCTGCCCTTGTTTCCAGCACCACTTTCTCCAGGAAGTCATCCTCTCACGATAGGACTACTTCAATATTTATTTGTCCTTCAGGGAAGCAGGTGCCTGGGGGAATCACTCGAAGGGCGGTGCTAAAATGCCCGAGGCGTTCATTGAACAGGTCCTGAACTCCCGGTGGGGCCGGGGCTCCCTGTGGGACATGGGATCCAACAGGGCTGGGAGCCTCTCCCGTGCTCACTGTAGCTGTCTGCTCTTGCCCCCGCCCTTGCTTGAAGAAGTTACTTGTTTTTGCAGCATTAGTTTGAATTCCTGCTGAAGTTTCCCCTCTTCAAGATCAAGGTGTGAACAGCCTCCAGGGAGGGCAGGGAAGGGAGGTCCTTGTTCTTACCCAGTAAGGACTGGAAATCCGGACAGGTGTGTCTTCTTTGTTATTTTCTTACATTTTGAGAGTAATGGGGGAGATCCTTCTAGAAGCAGAAGTTTGGCATTTTATTGAGTTCCTGGCAGACTTTCTCCATTTTTTTTTTTTTTTAATTTTAGGAACTCCTTCAGATTGTTAAAAATTATGAGATAAGTGAAATAAAGGGTGTCTTCCACTGCTCAGACACTGATCGTCTAACATCATTTTCACCAATTATATACTATTAGATTCATATTCTCGGTGTGTATACTTAGCTCATTCTTCTGCTGAAACGTCTTGGGGCTAAAGAACAAAGCCAGATATTATTTTCTTAGCTTTTTTCAAACTCTTAAAATATCTAGGCATTCAAGCATTTTCATGAATTATTCAGCCCTCTTAATAATTCCACAATGCCACTGTAACAGGCATTATATTATCTCCACATTCATTTTGCTCAAGGTCAACCACCCTGGCTTAGAAGCAAAGAAGAGAGTGGACAAGAGGTTGTTTTCTAGAAAGGAGGACTTAGACAATGCTCTTGATACATTACAGGCTCTCCTTGAGGATGCATAAAGAGATAGCAAGTTTAAAGGCAATCTGAACTACAACGCGGGGTTGTGTAAAACATACATATATCTAGAAGCCCATGTTCTAACCAGAGCCCAGATTAAACTGGGAAGAGTGAAAATTGAAGGGAAAATTGAAAAACTCACTAATGAACTAAACTTTCAGTGTAATATTTTACGATGAAAATTCTTGCCCAACGGGTTGGTGTTACGGTATAACGGATAGCCCAGCTCCCGCCATGTTGGCATCCCATGAGGGTGCTGGTTGAATCCTGGTTGCTCTGCTCCCCATCCAGCTCCCTGCCAGTGTGTCTGGGAAAGCAGCTGAGGGTGGATGAGGCGCAGGGCCCCAGCAGCCATCTGTTCTGCCCTGGCCTAGGCTCAGCCCTAGTCATCACGGCCATCTGGGTTGTGAATCAACAGGCAGAAGATCTTCGTTCCCTTGTCTCTGTAACTGGAATAAATAAATGCGAAAAAAAGAAAAGGCAAAACAAGGGCTACCAAGCTGGTGGTGGGGGAACCTCTCAGAAATAACTTAGTAATAACTTAGTGGTGGGTGGGGTTAAGGGGTCATTGGCTCCCTGGCACCTGCAGAGGGCATCACAGAATGGTGGCCTTACGTTTTGTCCTTAGCGGTTTACACAACTAATTGCCCCGACACAATCTCCGGAAACTATGGCCAAATGCCCGGCCCCAAGGACTCTTACCAAGCACCGGGTACGAAAATAGCACTTAACGAGTACATGAATGAAGAAAATTCAGTTTGTAGACGCAGGGCCCCAGAGATGGGCGTAGCAGCCCCTCTACAGCACGTCCTCTCAGCATCGCGAAAAGCCGACCCCTTCCGAGTTACTGTAAGCGACGAAAAAGCCTTTGGCGCACCAACACCCTCACAGAATATTCCACAGTCGGGGCCCACGCAGGTTGGCCGCGCACGCGCACGCGCGCGGCGTGAGGGCGCGCGCCGTGCCCTCTGCCCCCTCCGTCCTGCAGGTGGCGCTGGCGACCTCCGCGCCGCGGCCGCTGCCTCCGCCTCCCGCCGGGAGCGACCCGGGCGGCGCCGGCCGCCTCGCGCGGGCCGCGGGTCCGCCTCCGCCGCTCCGAGGGCGTGGGCTCCGGGCTCCCGGAAGCGGCGGGCGGGCGGCGTGGAGCCGAGCGGGCGCCCGTCCCCGGAGTGGCAATGCTCGGCGGCGGCGGCTGGCGGCGGTGACCTGAGCGCGGCGGCCCGAGCCGGGGCCTCTCCATGGCGGCTCGCTGAGGCGGAGGCTGTTAGCGTGGCGGCGGCCGAGGGGATGCTGCTCAAGCTTTTGCAGAGACAGACCTATACCTGCCTGTCCCACAGGTATGGGCTCTACGTCTGCTTCGTGGGCGTCGTGGTCACCATCGTGTCCGCCTTCCAGTTCGGAGAGGTGAGTAAGCGGCGCGGGGAGAGCCACCGGGCGCCCTCTCGGCGTCCCCAGCCCTCGCCCCGGCGGTGCCCCGGCGGTGCCCCGGCGGTGCCCCGCAGTGCCCCGCGCCCCGGAGCGCCTCTCGCTTGCCCGTCCGCCCTCCCTGCTTGCAGCTCCGGGACGCGTCCCCAGAGCCTGTCGTGCCCCGCTCCCCGGGACGCCGGCATCGCCACTCCACTCCCCGGGCTCCGGTTGGAGCATCTGGAGGCGAGGAGAGGACGGGTCTCCTCCCGTCGGCTTCGAGGGGCGAGGGCAGGAGGGAGGCGTCCGCGCGTGCCAGCAGGTGCAGCCTTCAGGGTCCCCCGAGCACTGACTTTCCCAGGTCCGTCCTCCCCTCCCGCACCCCGTTTGTTCGCAGTGCTCCTAAGCTTTTCCCACTGCCCCTCCTCCAGTTTCTCCTTTAATGTCACCCGTCTAATCTTGTCTCGCTTACCCATTCACCTTATCTTAATCCCATTTCTTCTCACATCCGCAAAACTTTTGCCCCAGAGGGGTGTCTGTGTGGCTTTTTTTTTTTTTTCTTGCAAATAAAGCTCAACATTCCAGGCGTTGGAGTGGAGAGGCTTTTAGCTTTGGCCGTTTGCCCCACGATCTTGGACCACTGTCCTTCAGTGAGCGCAGGGGGGAGGCTTTTCTGGGAGGGCAGAGGGGTGTACACGCGCTTGATATGAAGGATCTTGTGGCAGCTCCAAGCGTTTGTCCCCATCCCATGATCAGCCGAGACTGTCATATGACCCGGGACTGTCTTGGATTCCAGCTCTTGACTTGCGGGGAGCCGGCATCAGCGCTGGGTCACGGGGACAGGCTTATAATTAAGATGTGAGATGGGAGCCCTGCCTTGTGCGAGCTGTTCTTGGTTAATGTGCAGCAGAGGCGGGTGAGACTGTAACCCCTTCACAGGGTCCAACTCCCAAGCACCCGGGAGGAATGGATACACTTGGCCAGAAATAATCCTTTTGGTTTCATGTGAGGGCAGTTCCGTCAGTGGCAGTGTAGCACTGCATTCTTGAAGCACAATCTGGAGAGGCCGTGCGTACTTCAGAACTGGGAGAGTGTGTTTACATGATTTTAAAGCAACCTATAGCAACTGGGTGAACATCTGTATTTTCCAAAAGTTTGAACTTTGTTTTACTTTTCTGGAGTTAGAGGGTGGACAGGAGGTTGCAAAAGGTTGTGCAGTGGACAAAACGAGCCCTAGAAGTGCCACAGTGTACAGTGTAATCGCCATTGTCATCTTTGAGAGAAGTTGATGTTTGTTTAAATGCTGTTAATTCTGGCCCCAGCTCAGTGCCAGGTACTGCCAGGGTATGCAGGCTAAATATTTAATGAAAGGATGGTTTCCCAGTGTGTACTTTTCATTGATTTATTTTTATTGGGAAGACAGATATACAGAGAGGAGGACGGAGAGGAAGATCTTCCATCTGATAATTCACTCCCCAAGTGATTGCAACAGCTGGAGCTGAGCCAATCCAAAACCAGGAGCCAAGAGCCTCTTCTGGGTCTCCCACATGGGTGCAGGGTCCCAAGGCTTTGGGCCGTCCTCAGCTGCTTTCCCAGGCCACAAACAGGGAGCTGGATGGGAAGCAGGGCCACCGGAATTAGAACCGGGGACCATATGGGATCCCAGACGTGCAAGGCGAGGACTTTAACCACTATGCTTTCGCGCTGGGGCCCACCCAGTGTGTACTTTTAATAGTTCCTGATTCTAGAAGCTACGAAAAAAATTCTTGCTGGTAAGGATGAGAAAACCACGGACTTGTAAGTGTGGATTATGTACTTGGAGAACACCACCTGCTATTTTGTCTGTTCCAGTTAATGTCTCCGTGCAGTTAAGTGCCTTATAGCTTTTGCAGGATTTTTCTTTTTACCCTGACGAATTTCAGGTTAGTTTTTTTTATTAAATTTCGTGCAGTCAGAAGGTGGCCTAAAGATGTTAGTTCTTACAAGTTTTTCGCTTCATTTCAGTCCATGCCTGCTTATTCATTTACCAAAAGAAAGATGTTGACAATAGTCTTGGTGTGATCTCAGATCTTCAGGTTGGAACACATTGGAGTCGTGAGAGGTGGAGAATGTCAGAGTGTGGTGTGAGAGTGGAGGGTGGTTGGTCTGTTGTAAACTTGCAGCCGACCGTGGAAGGGGAGCTGGCTGCAGGGTTGGGCAGGTCTGGATTGGATTGCTGGCCGAGCTTTAGTTCATGCAGCTATGCCATGATAGGCAGTGTGCTTGTAGGCCTTACCAGGTGCCAGGCAGGTTTTACAGAGCGAGAAGGAGAGACAGAGAAAGAGGGTTTTCCATTTGCTAGTTCACTCCCCGAATGACCACAATGGCCAGGGCTGAGTCGATCTGAAGCCAGAAGCCGGGAGATTCTTTCAGGTCTCCCATATGGGTGCAGGGACCCAAGGACTTGATCCACCTTGAGTCATGTTGAGGCCATAAACAGGAAGCTGGATCAGAAGCAGAGCATCTGGAACACGAACCTGCACCAGTCTGGGAGGCCATTGCTGCAGGGAGCACATTACTGTGCCATGCCATCATTCCAGCTGCTTACCAAGTGTGAGCTAATTTAACCCTCCCACCATCACTCTTGTGAGTGGATGCCGTAATTACACCTGCTATTACCAGTAATGGAACTGAAATACTTAATGCAGATTAAGCCAGCTAGTTTGTCGCAAAGTTGGGCTTTGCACCAGGGTGCTGTGGCACCACTTCTGCATGGTTGGTTTGACAGCCGGAGAGGCTCCTGGGCTGGTCTCTGACAGAATACTTAACCTTTCTGAGCTTATCTTTTAAAATGGAGGTGAGAATGTGGGGTTGGTGGTGAGGTCTGAGTAAGCCCTGTATCTGAGCACTTCACAGTTTCTGGCCCATGACACTCATTAAGTGGTAATGGCTGTTACTGTAATTACGTTATTATCATCAGCTCGGTCTGTGCCTTTGATCTTTATTTTGATATAAATGCTTGAAGAGGTATCTTCATCATCATATGTTAATAGTACCAACTTGTCAATTGTTGCTAGTTTTTTTTTTTTTAAAGATTGATTTATTTTTATTAGAAAGGTAGATTTACAGAGAGAACAGATCTTCCATCTGCTGGTTCACTTCCCAAATGATTGCAACAGCCGTAGCTGAGCCAGCCTGAAGCTGGAAGCCAGGGCCTTCATCCGGATCGCCCATGTGGTGCAGGGTTTTCCCAGCCCATAAGCAGGGAGCTGGATGGGAAGTGGAGCAGCCGGGACATGAACTGGTGCCCATATGGGATGCTGGTGTTTGCTCATGGAGAATTAGTCAGTTGAGCCATGGTGCTGGTCTGACTAATATAGTTGTAATGGATCCCGGGACTACTGTCACTGCTGACTGTGAGCTTATTTCCCGGATCCCTCCTCTCAGTATAAGAGGTATTGCATTTTCTAAAAGGTAGTTATTCATTTGAAAATGTAACAGAGTTATAGAGAAAAAAAAAAGAGGGAGAGAGAAGAAGAGATCTTTTGGTTTATTCCACAAATGACCACAATAGCCAGGAGTGCTCCAGGCTGAAGCCAGGAGCCAGCAGACTCCTCCAATCTCCCATGTAGGTGCAGGGGCCCAAGCACTTGGGTCATCTTCTGCTGCTTTCCAAGGCACATGAGCAGGGCGTTGGATTGGAAGTGGAAAAGCTGGGACTCAAATCAGCACCTGTTGGATATTGGAACTGCAGGCAGTGGCTTAACGCACTGTGCCACAGCCCAGAACCTTTACTGATAAGCCATTTGAATACTTATGTAAATTTTGAGGACAAAAGTAGACTTGAAGAAGAAAAGTATTTTGTTTTTTAGGTGCAAGGGTCTTGTTTTTTGTTTTGTTGTCTTTGTTTTTTTTTTAAAGATGTCTTTATGTGAAAGAGTTACTCGAGCTGGCCACACCTGCCACAGCTGGCCCAGGAGCTGCACTCAGGTCTTCCACATGGGTGGGAGGGGCACAGACACCTGGACATCCCGGGCTGCCTTGTTGCCAGGCTGGTGGCAGGAAGCTGGGTTGGAGGCAGGACAGGCAGGGCACACACCAGCGCCTTTTGGGGTGCTGGCATCACAGGCGGCGGCATTTCCGTCTGACCATTGCACCTGCCCCGGCAAAGTGTTTTTAAGGAATTGGCTTTTGTTTTCCCCCCTCCAAAGTGCAGCCCGATGTGCTTCTGGAGAACTCGTGGGCGCTCTGAGCAAACCGAAGCACACTGGCTTTAAAGGTGACGCTGGCATAGACAGGGCCCTCGGTGTGGGGGCTGCCGGTCACCCCGTGAGTCGCCTTGTGCAGCGCTGGTCTCTCAGGGAAAGCACAGCTGGAAGAGCTGGTCTGTTGTCAACAGGTGGGAAGTCCCATGGCCTCCGGGCAGCTCAGCTGCTCCTCTGTGAATGAAAGCGCCAATGAAAGCGTTAGACTCGCTGTGCTCTTAACAGCACCTTTACCTCAGAAACTTCTGATGCTAATTGCTTCTCTCTGTTGCTGTTGGATAATTTTTAGAAGTGTATTTTTGAGGTAAAACTTTATTATTTCAGGGCCATCATCGTCTAGCTGAATCATCATGCATATGCAAGTCACAGTTTTTTTTTTATCTGTAACTTATAAAGCTGTTTATCATCTTATAATTACAAGTCAGGTTTTAAAGATTTATTTATTTTTATTTTAAATGCGGATTTACAGAGAGAAGTATTATCAAAGAGAAAGATCTTCCATCTACTGGTTTACTCCCCTAATGGCCTCAAGGGCTGGAGCTGAATTGATCTGAAGCCAGGAGCCAGGAACTTTTTCCAGGTCATCCAAGTTGGCATGGAGTTCCAAGGACCTGGGCCATCCTCTGTTGCTTTCCATAAGCAGGGGGCGGGAGCAGAGGTGGAGCACTGGGAAGTGAACTGGAGCCCATAGAGGATGCTTGCAGCTGGAGGACTAGCCTGTTAGCTTTCACATTGAATTGTATGACTGCTCACCGG